CTCATTTTTAATGCTACTAACACTTAGATGTTTGCACATGCGTCTTTAATCTCTATGTATCTGATGATTACTAGTCACATTTGGTTACACTTGGATCCTTAGTACCTCAGTATGGATATAAAGTCATCAGGTAGATTTCACTGGTAATGTTTATCCCCTCTACTATTTAACATGAAATAAATTTTTATGCTTCCTCCTCAAATATGTCTTTTCTTAAAATTTGTTGATTTTTCTGTGCGTAGATCATACAGAACATCCCACACAATCTTATTCATCTATATACCCACTTCCCAAATGGCACCCTCCCATAGCCTCCCCCGTCCCACATACTGGAGACACATACTCTGTCATCCCTGTTTCTGCCCTCTGTGTTTTCGACACCCCCAGCCATTCTCCAGGGCTTGTCCATCTGCTGAATCTAGTCAGGCTATCTAGAGATCCTTGTTTTAGGAAGATCCTCAGTTCCTCATCTACCAGCAATCAGTTGTCAATATTCCTTTAAATAAGATTGGGGTCTGCTGTTCATTTTCCCAGTTCTATGGTGGGTTACTATCTGGGAGTCTCTTGCACCACCTTGGCCAATAACTCAAAGGAAGGTATCACCTGTCTGACACTGTTTTTTGTTATATAGCCTTTAACTATACATATGGACTCTTAAAAATTATATTGACCCCATTAATCTTTGGTTACACTTTCCTTTTGGGTGTTTAAGGCTATAAAGTTGGCCCAGATAAACCTATTTATTTATTTATTTGTTTGTTTGTTTATTTTTTATTTTTTGGTCTTTATGGGACAGCTCTTTAGATAAAGGACTCAACCTTAAATAGAGAATAAACTAAACTAAGTACCATAGTTGGCTTAAAAGCAGCCACCACAAAGGTCCTGCTCAACCATGGCTGGCTTCACTTGGAAGCATGGAGGAAATGATTCCTCTGTGTTGACCGTCCTCTTTGTTGACTGGACACTGGTTCAGGTCCATCTGGTGGGGTCTTCACGGCCTCTTTGCTCAAGAGGACAGGTGACTCACCCAAATTACTGTATTTTTTTAAAAATAAAATGTTGGAAAGCAACCAAAACAGGAAGATATTGGAGAGAAATCAATATTTCTCATGTAAGTCTAAATTTAATAGAAAACCCTTTGTCCTGCTGCTTTGAAAAAATCATGAGCAGAGTTCAGAAGACTACGGGTGATGTTCAGTGAGGGATGAAACATCTGAAAAGAGCCAGTGAGGAGAAATTCGAATCTTTCAATGGTCTCCTTTTTCCCCCCACAATGCTTTTGCTTAGAATTAGATTATATGTTGTTCTTAACTCCCTAACAAGCCTAGATCTGCTCACTAGAAGTAAAAAGAACAACTGTGCCTTTTCTCTCCCATATTAGCAAAGCATCTGAAGACAGCTATCATTTTCTAAAGCACATCTTCCCCGAATTCTAGCTCCATATCAAGTGTACAATCATTAAAGGCTTGCTGCTACTGACAGCTGGAAGTTGACTGATGGAAACCATTTATTAAAAGAAAAAGCAAATGAAGCTAAAAGATGCTGATATATTTAAGACCCTGGGGATAAGAATTAAATTAAAATGAAAAGTAGAGTATCAAGTGGATAATTTAAAAATCTAACAACAGGACTAAATGGAAATTTGAAGAAACACACGTGGGAAACAAAATGTTAGTACTACCACCAAGGCCAGGGGGAGAGAGTGATCACAGAACCATAAAGGAAGAAAAAATGAATGCAAATAAAGAAGTTACTTAAGAACAAAAGAAAAGAGCTGGGCATGGTAGCACACTCGCCTTTAGTACCAGCACTTGGGAGGCAAAGGCAGGTGGATCTCTGTGAGTTCAAGACCAGCCTGGTCTACATACTAAGTTCCAGGCAGGTCAATGGGGCTACAGAGAGATGCTATCTCAAAAAGACCAAAAAAAGAAAGAAAAAAGAAAAAAGAACGAAAGAAATGCTGTTAAAAATCAACTTTGAAAAGTAAATAAAGCTTATTCTGATTCTCATCTCACACCATGACGAACTAGGGATTAAACCCAGGGTCTAACACACACTGCGCAGGTGCTGCTCTACTGAGCTATCTCCTCAGCCCAAACAAGGAGAAGCAATGCTCACCACAATGATGTGGCTATAAAACAGCAAAGAATATTCCATGTTAAGGAAGGAAGGAAAGGATTACAGAGTGGAGGGAGGGAACACTTAGAGATCATAGTCTTTAATATGATCAAACTCTTCCAAAAAGTACATATCTCCATTTAGTGCTTATTTCTTCCTCTGAGCCTTTTATATGTCTGACAGTCTAGGTAACAACTGGCATTTTATGCCCACATTTTCTGTAGGCCTTTCTGTATGTTGTCCCCGCACCCTGTCCCCACTTGTGGCCTACAGTTCAAACTACAAGCTCAATAAGAAAGGGTAGCCTTTCATGCTGTGTTATTTTACCACTATAAATGCTTGTGCTTAGTGCACATCTGCTATATCAGAGACTTTACCGACTTGGGAAGCACCTATTCTATACCCAGTCCTCCTACCTTAGAGAGTGGCTCCTTGGAGTGAGATTCTGCAGGTGGGGCAGACCCTCCTTGTGTCTTCATTTCTTCTATGTGTTTGTTCAAAGAAGTTAGTTTGGCCTTTGCATGAAGTTTTATTTTTTTAATTTTGTTATCAGCAGCTTTTCTTTCTTCCTGCCAGGGAATAATGATGACACATAAATACTTATCATTTCTGTAACACATAAGAGAAGTTACCTTCAGCAGGCATCATGTTATAGTATTTAGGAAATATACAGATTCTCTAATAACCTATGTGAAGAAAAAAATCTAAGTGCATGATCTGTCTTTATCAAATGTTCAGCAAATGACCTGAACAATAATACCTGTAGTGCTTCATCCTTCTGCTGGAGTTGAACATCCTTCTGTCTAATAATGTCTTTCAGCTCCACCACCAACTTCTCTGCATCAGCCAGGCGTTCTAGAGCATCCTCTTGTGCTCTGTTGTTAAATTCCATGTCAGTTTCCTGGGGTAATTCCTAGTATTTAGGGGGAAAAAAATGCTAATGCACAGGGGAAAGGTATTAACTTCCAGCAGGAATGCCTTCATTCCCACAACTTCAATTCATCCTTTGCCAAACTCATATCTTGAATATTTTTATCTCATTAAAGTATTATTATCCTAATTTTAACCAAAGAAAAAAACTGAAGTAAGCAAAGATTATATACTGTTAAGTAAAAAAGCTTAAAATTTAAAATTAGCTTGGTTGAAAGCTATAGATTTAGGTCAGTTTGGTAGACTGCTTGCCTAGCATGCACTAAATCCTGGGTTCAATTCCCAACACTGCATAAACTGGGCATGGTACAGTACACCTTTAGTCCTGGCCCTTGGAAAGTAGAAACAGAAGGCTCAGGAGTCCAAGGTTATTTTGGTTACACAGAAAGTTCATAGCCAATCTGGTATATACAAGACCCTGTCTCAAACAAAAAATGAAAATCAAAGAGTTATTTAGAAAAGAAATTCTCCTAATCATTAGGCATTGCTGCTTATCTTTCAGAAAACTAAATGGATTTCTTTTTATTCCTTATGTGGCCCAAGAAAATACAATGCAAACCAGAAGAAAGGTGGCAGATGAATTTATAAAAGTAAACAGATATTCTCAAAGACAATGGTGCTCAGTACCATTTGCCATTTAAATCTTTCCCATGGACAGGAGTTATATTCCCAAGGAGGAAGAGGAAGAGAATGACGGGAGCAGGAGATGGGAGCAGGAAGGGGGGAGGAGGAAAATGACATAGATTTAAGACAATTAGATATTAAACAGGCCCAAGGGCGACAACAGAGAAAGCTTTCCAATCTCACCCAGCGCTTATTTCCACCCCCACAGCTCCTTCACTAAAAAACTTACAGCAAAAAGATCATTTAGTCTTAATATTTTTCTCAAATATCATTTCTACTTTGCCCAAAGGATTCTGCTAAAGAACACAAAACGTATGCCTCACCAGTTTCAATCACAACAGACGTACTCACAGTTTCTAAGGGAGCCGTCATAGTCTGGTCAGTGTCATCTCCTGATAATTCATGCAAAACAACATTTGCTAATCCTGATAATCGGCTCAGCATTTCTGTGGGCAAAACAGAAAAGAGAAAGGTAACAATCAGCAAAAATAGATATAGGCTGCTAAAAAAATCAGTAAAACAGTCACACACTGTATGGTGGTTTGAATGAAAATGTCCCCACAGGCTCGAAGTGTTTGGACATTTTGTCCCCAGATGATGGTGCTGTTTTGGGAGGTTTTAGAAGGGGTGGCTATCCTGGAGGAAGCACGTCACTGGGGATGGGCTTAAAGACTTCTTAAGCCTTGCCGGATCTCCAGTCACTCTCTTGCCTACCTGTGTCTGTGTGATGATGTGAGAGCTTCACTTCTGCTGATCCTGCTCCAGCCACCTCCAGCCACCATGCCTCCCTGCCATGACAGACTAATTCCCCTGGAACCATAAGCTCAAATAAACTCTTCCTTCTATAAATTGCTTGGGTCAGTGTTTCTGTCACAGCAACAGAAAAGTGACTAATACACACTGCTACTATATTGGTACCAATAACATCTATAAGTGAAATAAGAAACTGAGCAGGTGACACACACCAAGCAGTGAACAGCCTGATGAGGTATGTACAGGGTAGCCACACTGTTCTGTCCAGGGGCAAGGGTGCTATATTATAATCAATGCCACTAATATCAATTTTAAAAATAAAATGCAAGAACAAAATTCTTAAATATAAGGCTATACGAGGACATGTTAAAGACTATCTTCAAAATCCTTTCTTTTATTGTAGTTTCACCTATAAACAAAATTTCTTGTATGCCTTCTTCTGCCAGACTGTTACCTTTCCTGCTTTTTTCAATTAAAACTCAAGATTCAGCAACATTTTCCTTTTTATGTGTCCCTGAACCCCATTCTTTTATGTAGTATCTTTCCCAACAAACCAAGTGATTTCAGGGAAGAATCACTGTTCAAAATGTGGAGTATTCAATATTTACATTAGAAAAGAAGACCTGAAACCCATAACCTATGCTTGTTCTGAAGGTAATTAGAAAAAGAGGAGGAAACAAAAATGATCATAAGCAGAATAAAAGGGAATGAAGATTAGAGCAGAAATCAGTGAATAGAAAATAGAAAAAACAGAAAAACAAACAAACAAAAGGTTGGTTCCTTTTAGAACAGACCAATAACATCAAGATGATAAAGCTCTAGTCAGTCTTAACTACAAAAACCAAATGATACAAAATATTAACATCACAAATAAAAATGGAAATATCACTACTGAACTAGCATGCATTAAAAAAGAAAGGAAAAAAGAAAACCAGGAAACACTATAAATAATCTGATGTTCCTAAATCCACAAAAAAAAAAGATGAACCAATCCAATTCCCTGGAGGGCACAAGCTATCAAATTCAAAGAAAAAACAACAGAGAACTTGAATATATATGGGTAGCTGTGTGTAGGTACATCTATGTCTACACAAACACACACATACATATATATATCAATGTAAAAATACAAAAATCCAGGGGCTGGAGAGATGGCTCAGTGGTTGAGAACACTGTTCTTGCAGAAGACCCGGGTTCCAGCACCCACATGGCCACTAACAACTGTCCATAACTCCAGTTCCAGGGGATCCAACATCCTCTTCTGTCCTCCGTGGGCATTGTACGACACGGGTGCACTTACCTACATGCAGGCATAACACTCATACACATAAAATGAAAATGATAAAAATATTAAAAAATAATAAAAAGAAAAATCTAAGTCAAGATAGCTTCACTCATGAATGCCAAGAATCATTTAAGAATTAAATAATATAAAAAATTTTTTTGAACTGCCCATGTCAAGTTGTCATGATTTTACCCCTACAAAGAAAAAATCAGAAACAATCAACATGGTTTTTCTTTCCGCAGTACTCCTACAAAATATAAATTTTATAAAATGACTTCCGAAAATAGGAGGGAACACCCTGTTACTCGCTTTACAAGATCAGCATTACAGTAATATGAAAAGAAGAAAAAAGATACAAGAAAAGACAGCTAACTACAGATGAATATTCCTCAGGGTCCCAACTCAACAAAAGACTCAAAATCCTCATCAAAATAGAAATTAAATACAGAAATGCATAAAAAGCTCTTCCCTGAAGAAATGGCCAGGTAGTTAATGTCAGGACAGGAGGATATAAGATGAGATGGGAACATCTTACAGTATCAGAAAGTAAGGAAGTGCGGAAGAAAAAAGAAATAGAGGCATGTGACAAGGAACCACCTGAAGGAGCTTCCCACTAGGCAAAGCTAAAAATAATTCACAAAATGTAGATGAGAGTCACAGCAATAAATGCAATCCAAATAAAAACATATCTATTAGTCCACACTGATTTTATATAATATATATATATGTATCTACCAAAATAAATGAAACAAATTTCCTTACACAATAATCCCAAAATATCAAAATAGCTACATCCCCCTGTAGGAAGTGAATCTTATTTCTACACTCCTCTAGCTATATGCAGCCTCCTGAAGGAAGTGCTTCTTAATTCTACTTCTTCAATATGGGTTAGGACTTAGGAACTCACCTCTAAAGATATACTATGAAGGGGAAAAATTACAACTTCAGAGTAGAGAGACCTAGCAGTCACTGTGATGGTTCATCTTCATCATCAGTTCAGCTACATTTAGAATCATTATGAAAATATACCTCTAGGTGTGGCTATAAAGCTGTTTTCACGAAGGTTTACAGGGAGGTAAGATCCACCTGGAATGTGGGTGGCACCATCTCATGGGTTAGAGTCTTAGACTGAATAAAAAGGAAGGAGGATGAGCATCAGAATTCTTCTCCGTTTTCTGACTGTGAACCCAGTATGACCAGCTGCCTTGTATTCCTGCCTCCATGCCTTCACTACCATGATAGACTCTACCTAAACCTGTGAATTTAAATAAACTCCTCCTCCTAGTCTTGGGTCCCCAGACACCTGGGGAAGGAATACTGCTTCCCGATCTTTTTCACACAGACAAACAGTGCCTTCCTTAGGCCCCAGGAGCACTGCTTCTGGACCTGGCCCCGCCCTCACCTCCCTCTACTTCCCTGGTCCTGCAACACCCGCCGGCCTCTTTCTGGAGCTGACAGCCTCTTTCTGGGGCTCCGAGGCTTACCTTTCCTCTCCCTGATCCTTTCCATCCAGTACAACCCAGCTACTCAATCCACTCCCTGGGAAATCTTGGGGCTTATTCCCACCCCATCTGCCTTTGCATCCCTGCTTGGCACCGCCACGGCCAGGATCTCAGGTCAGTCCAACACCCAAGTTCCTGAGGCCAAAATCATTCTTAGAAGATTCCAGACCTAAGGAGAAAGTCTGAAAACTTCTGACCCACATTGGAATTGGGCCACCGCGGAACTCCTGAAGACAAAATACAATCCGGCCATGACAATATAAAATTAAAAGAGAGAACCAGAAGCTTACACAAACCAGCTCTTCATACACAAAAAGTAAACCACAAAGACACATAAAGTTCAAAAAAA